TTTTTTTTAAGTTCAAGTACTACCAAGACATTACTTAGGTGAAACTTACCATGTGTGATTTTAAGCGAAAATTTACCCTTACGGGTGATGGATAAAGCTTGCCCATTTCCAACAAAAATTATGTCTATACCAAAATACAATTTCAAAATATTTTAATTGTCGGATCGATGTATTTATATGTAATTATTATTCCTTTTAAATATTGTTGTGTATGTCTGAACTATATGAATTATTCATATATTAGTAGGATAATCTAGGGAGCAATATATCCATAAGTGCTATGTGATGATGTTGTTAAATGTGATGTTGTAGAGCGAGTCAAAGATTGGTTGTTAAGTGTGTTGTGCATAGGATAATCTAGGGAGTATGGTTAAGAGTTGATATTATCTCATCCGAGAGAGAGATTAAGAGTTCTAGGTGCAAAGTATCTTGCTCAGGCGAGGTAATTCTCGCTCAAGCGAGACTAGATCGCACTGAATCATGCATTCTAGAGCGTTCTCGCTCAAGCAAGATTAGTCTCGCTCAAGCCAAAACAGATAGGGTCACCGCAATTGTCCTCTCGCCCAAGGAAGAAGGGATCTCACTCAGGCGAGGAGTGACCTCGCTTAAGCGACAGAAGCTTGCTCAAGCGAGGAGTCGCAAGAAAAATAGGCAACTCTCTGAACCCAATCTCACCCAGGCGAGGATGCTTCTTACTCGAGCGAAATGCATCTCACTTAGGCAAGATGTTCCTCGCTTAAGCGAGAATAGCAGAAATTTGAAAGGTTCCACTGTCTGGTTTTTTTGCCCAAATGAGGATGAGCTCACCCAGGTGAGAAAAGGGCTCGCTCAGGCGAGAGTTAGCTCGCTCAAACGAGAGCGTGCAGGCCTGGAAGGGTATTTAAGAAACCCCAGTGTAGAGAAACGTTCATTTATCACCAAACAACCTTCCTCTTTCATTTCCTCTTTGTTCTCTCACCTTCATACCTTGAAGGAAACCTTCTCAAGGCCGAAATTCTTCCTTATTTGAGTGGGAACCTTTGTTTGGTAAAGATTTAGGTGAGCTGATCCCATTCTTCAACTCTGATTTTTATTTCTTGGGTTCCTCTTCTTTGAAGTTTTTATTTCCTAATAGTGAAAAAAAATTGAACCTACAAGCATAGTTTCTTACATTGGAGACTCGCGTGAAGTTTGATTTGAGAAGATCCATTCCAGGTAAGGAGAGTTTACTCGAACTGCCTTAATCCATATGTTAGGTATTAGGGTACCTATATGTATAACTTGGTCCTAGTTGAAAGCAAGCTCTTGTATGAACAAAGCCTAGGGAAGAATCTCGAGTAAGCATGGCTGGGTGACTTGATTGTTGTAAATGATTTTATTGAGCCTGATGTATTTAAATACTTATTATATGATGGTGTTGAAATCGTATGAAAATTTTGTAGGGAAACATGCCGAGAGATAGGCAAACATGCTGAGTGATATGCAAATGTGTCGAGCTGTAGGTTCCTTTTGAATTTACTAATGTTGTAATGCCAGTTGAAGTCGAGTTGTTATTATTAAGGTTGATATTATTGTTGATATTGTTGTCATCGTTGTAATTGTTAGTATTCAATGAGTTGATAATAAGTTGTTCAAATAATGGTGTTCATAATATATATATATATATATATATATATAATTTTATCTTATTTTTAGTAGAATCGGTAATTTAATTAAGTGATTTTTTAGAGCTTGTAATATGCTGCTTTGAGGCTTTGAATTAATGGTAGGATTTAAAATTTCCATAGTAGGAAGTTTGTGGCAAATAATTTGATTGAAACTATGCTAAAGCATTAATAAAAAAGATTGAATTGAAAGTTTGGATTCTTCAAGAGTCATAATTTTTGAAGCCTAAGTCTTTCACACCACAAAGAAGATAACAAATGTATCTTTTATTTTCTATCACCTCACTATTCAAATCATATAGTTTATATGTGTGTGCCAACTTTAATAATTTCAATATGGAAATGATATTAAGAGACATTATTATTTTTATTTGATTTAATTCTGTAAATTAAATTATTGTCGTATAATAGTTTGTTGATTTATTCTTGAATTAATATTGTGATTAAGGAATTTTCATTATTTTTTAATGAAAAATGAATATTGATTATTAAGTTTTATCCAATCAAACCCAAAAAGATTAGGGGCTCATAAGATCTATGTTCACACTTATGCAAAAAAAAGAAAAGAAAAAGTTGGAATCATGAGCGAACAATAATGGGAAACTAGAGAGATACTTGGTGATGTATCGTGAAGTAGTAATTGTAAATGCAATCCTTTATTGCTAACACATGGTGTTAGGGGAGGAAAGAGATTTGTGCATTCTCTGCCCTTGAAAACACCCACATGGAAAAGAGAACAAAAGAAAAAGAAAAAACACGTTAACATGGTTCAATACATCTTGCCTATGTTTATGAACTCCCAACATAAGTTTACAATTTTATATTTTTTTTACCAAATAAAATTACAAACCCTTTTAATTTATAATTTTTGAACGAGCAAAGCTCACCTTTACAACTTTTGAATAAACAAAATTGCAAACCCTCGTCTAATCTACAACTAGCCAAGCACCTAGTACATCAAAAGAACTACATGTTATAATAAGTACATAATAATATTTTTCTATATCTTTCTTTTTTAAATTTTTTCGATATGAGACTTGGGCAAATAATCTACTTTAACCCAACACATGAAGAATCCAGTAGCTAACTAAGGTGTTTGATGGACCTCAATTAAAATATTTGATCCAATGAATTATTTGTCATGTGACACTTAATTTTATTATATGTTAACTTAGACCCTTATGATTAAAACAACAAAGAGAAGTGTGTTAAGAAGACATTCTTTCTAATACTTAATTATTTATTGAATTTATTAAAAACTACAAAAATGAGTTCAAATCATTAATATAGAAGCGAAACTCACATGATTTTTATGATTTTTAATAAATTTTATTTAATAATAAAAAATGTGTTAGAAATGTTAACAACATACTATTAACTATTGATTAAGTTTATTAAAAATTATAAAATAATGTGAATTTGATTCTTAATTTAATAATAATTTTTAAACAGTAAAAATTTATTTATTTTTTACTATTTTTGTATAAATATTTGAAAATAAAACAAAAACAAAATGAAAGAAAAAATTTTAAAAAAATTCCTAAAATCAAACAGCCTTAAGTTATTACGCATGTATTTGAATTGATATGGTTATAAACATTGAATAGGATAAACATAACAATTTATAACATTAATGTATTTTTCGTAGATAATTTTAGTCACTAACAATGGAATAAATGGACCAAATCAATTATTTTAATTGGAAAAACTGGTATGCTAATCAAGACAACAGTTAAAATAATAAAAAAAACTAATGGAACAAAATATTGATCCAAATTTTTTTAAAAATATTACAACAAAAAATTGGTTCAAAGTAATCTTTTATTTTTAAAAAATATGGTTTCAATAAAAAAAAAATCCCATATAAGATACATGAATGAATCATCAGCAATTTTATCATGATTTAACTACAATTAAATAGTAAATTTTATTTAAAAATTTAGCTTTTAAAATAGTGAACCACGAAAAGTTATAAAAAGTAAACACAAACTAAAAGCTAAAGCTTATTTAAATACACCAATCACAAAATTACAATACTTATAATGTTTCAGCTTAATAATTCAAATTCTAAACAATCAAGATAGTGTATGTCTAAATTAATTAAAATTTGCAATTTCTTAAAGAAGATATATAATTAAGTACTAATCACTATCCTTTAAAAAAAAATAAAATCTCGATCATGCACTTAATATTGGAGTTAGCTTAGTTATGTGCATTTTGTCAAAAGTTATTAAATCAAGCAATGGTGATATGTAGAAAGAATTAAAATTATTCACGAGATGAAAGTATTTCATCTTTGATCAAATACTACTTCATATTTAAAAGATCAAACATTTGACCACTGCTTGAAGTGTAACAGCTACTATGTTGTAATATTAGCCATTTAGCCCGCAAATAGGTTAGTGCACTGCATGTAACATATCAATTAGAGGTTCAATTATCATCAGTGAAAAAATAATTTCTCTTCCTTTCACTTTGTGCTTTCGCGAAAGATATTAAAAAAGATGTCTAATATAAAAAATTAACAACACACTTTTTTTAGCATAATCTTAATAACTGCTAAAATTTATTAAAATTATAAAAATCACAAGTCTTACTATTTTACTTTTAAATTAATATTTTCTCATTATTTTATAATTTTTAATAAATTTTAACTAACAATTAAAATATACTATAGAAGTGCATTAACAAATATGTTGGTAAACATTTTTAAATGCTCACCGCAAAGATGAAGTCAATTGAGCATGTTTAATAACAGCTACAATTCTGCAAGTGCATAATTATTGATTTGCTCAACTCATTGGAAATTTGCTTTTCTGTTTATGTTCTAGTGCACTTAGATTACATCAAATTCACTCAAGCATTGTTTTACTTCAACACTACACATTAAAACGTGATTTAAAATGATTTTGTAGACTTTTCGTACATTCACTTTATTCTCTGTCAGTGTACTGCAAGGTTGTTCAAGTTCCATTCATATGGTAAATTAACTTATATACAGAACAAATAGAACTCATAGGAAATGGACACCATTTAGCCTCGTAATGCCAGTTTGGACAACAGTTCATCCAACAGAGCACACTTTAATACACAAGCAACGGTTTATATTATAATGAACAAAGTAAAAAACATTCAGAATTGCCGGTTTCTAGAATTGAGGATAATAAGCACTTTCTAGAATGCAGCTCAGAAGTGTGATTCATATAACACAAAAGAGCCATTGAGAAACTCAATTCGTATATAATTAGGAGATGTAAAACATATTATGTGAGATTCAACTCAACATAATTCTTTGAACAAACTGGTTGAACTGCACAAAAGACTGAAGTAGACACATTAGCCAATTCCTATTAATCCTTAAACAATTGGAGCTGCCTCACGAAGGGATTCACTTTTAACATTCTGAGATTCCAAAACACTGCTCACAGCAACTTTGCTGTTCACATAGTGACGGCGACATACTGGCATGTAGAGATCAGCCCCACCAATCAGTTCAGTCTGAGTCTCTTGTGTTTTCCTCAATGTGAAAAAAGCACGTTTGCCGCACAATTCACAGCGTGCTGTCAACTTGGTCACCGAATCAGCAAGTGGAATTATGTCAAGCACTGAGCCAAAGCTTCTCCTGAACAACAATTTCAAGAGTGAGCGTAAATGAAAATTAATCTCAATATTTGAACTACCAAAAATGTGACACCAAATACATTTATTTCTATCTCACTCTTTATGTTTTTGCATATACACGTCACAAAATTACACTCCAAAACACAAAAAGACACCCAAAGGTGTCTCTGTTGAGGTGTTAAGTAAGCATTTTCCAATGAAAATAAGCATTTGATACTAAAAGCCACAATTTGATTATAAGAATACCTTAAGTAATCACCATCCAAGCCTGCAACTATTACAGTTTTACCATCTTCATCAGCAGCTTTGCAACAAAACTCAAACAGATCATCAAAAAATTGAGCCTCGTCTATACCAATCACATCCAACTGCGTCCAAAACATTATTCCATGAATAAAAACTCACTTCTCTTAGATTACAAAAATATGACACTTGCCGAAACAAACAAAAATATACAATACCATTATTATTATTATTATTTTCATTTTGAAACAAACTCAAATTAAAAGTGAAATATTTATACTCATTTTACTTACGCTTCAAAACTCTCTTGAAACACATCGATAACAATCCCTTCCTCTTATTTAAGAATTTTGATACAGTTGTTAAAAAAAAGGTGGTAGAAAATTTGTAGTACCTTTAGATAAGCATCATGGCCATAATTATCTCTGAAAGACAACAGATTCGGTAATGCCCAGCAAGGAAACTTGACCCCATCATGCGTCACAACCGAATCAATTGCATATCTCGTATCCTTGCTCGACTTTAACATGGCAACATTCCTTCAAAATTTAGACAATTATTAAAAAACAACAAATATTTTATTTTCATTTGGTAGAAATCAAAACGTGGGAATTACCTGCCAGAGTTAAGGTGGGATTTGATACGATGAAGAAGGGAAGTGGTTTTGCCAGCGAACATGGGACCCACAATAACATGGACCTCACCACTTTCCAAGGGAATGGAAGAAGAAGCCATTGAAGAATATTAGAATTTGGGTGACAGAGGGATAGATGAGAGAGGGTAAAACATTGGTTAATATTTATAGGCGCTGTTGGGAGCGTCACTTTGATTTGAAAATTTTGGAGGGAAATTAGGAATTTGGAGAGACGTGTAATTGGGATTGGAGGGAACAAAATTGATGGGAAAAAAATCGGTTTTATTTCAATTTTCAAAGTGAGAAAAGCTTCTCTCGCAAGTTTAACTTAAATCGAAAAAGGGGGGAACGTGCGGTGTAATACATTTACGAGGAAAAATCTGGACAAAGATTTTATATTTTCATTGTCCTAGTCGACTCAAAGTGCAATGGAGGATTTTTTTTAAAATGATTTATTTTATGGAGTCTTATTAATGAAAATTCTAATCATTTTTTTAACATAGTATGTTTGAAAACACTTTGTAAATTAAAAATTGTAAGATTTATTATCTAATTCATTAATAATATCAAATATAATTTTAATAAAAATTATTATTCAATATTTTTTTATTTATGTCCTTTAACATTGGTTTGTCTATATTATATATTTTTTTTTCACTATTACACCGACTAAAGAGACCAAAAATACCTAATCTATAATCTTGAAAGTATAAATGTAAAGAAGAGCTAAACTCAAGTAAGAAAACAAAGAAATATGAGGCTAGTTTAAATAAGGCCTAAGGTTATCAAGATCTATACTTGCAAGTTTATTAACACATTGATTTATCTCCGGTACCAAATAGGGTATTACTCGGTCCTACTTATAGAAAGAGGAAACTGATTACCTATTCTGCCTATGAAGGACGAGTACCCCTCAAGGCATATTAATTATAAATTAATAAATAATAAATAATAACTAAGAATATTATCAGCTTAATTATTAGACTAGGAACAAGGCTGACCCACAAGGCTCATTAAGCCCATAATATCTCCTATAAAAAGAAGGTAAGAGGTATAGGTAAATGGTTGACTTTTGAATATTGAATAATATTTTACTGCTAAGAATTGAGATCTAACTTCAGCATTGAAGTGTCTTTTGCAGGTACTCTCCCCACGCCAGCAACGTACGGAAGGACGTCATTCTACCTAGGCAGAGATTAGAAAATTAGCGTTTTCCTAACATGAACATTTTAGCGCCTACCGTGAGGCCCGAATAGCCTCGCTTTTTCAGTCATCATGGTACTAACAAGAAGCCAATAGGAGGGACAAAATTATCAAGGATGAACTTCTCGTCAACAGGAAGATGTCACACCCAATCAACTAATCCCTAAAGTTTTGGCTGAAAGAGGGGGAGATGACAGCCTATTTTCTGTAGTAAGACAGCTCCAGGCCGAGATGAATAGGCCAGAGAGAGAGATGTTCTTGAGATGTCGGTCTTAAGGAGGAAGAACGCTAACTTGAGGGAAGAAATTAAAACTCAGATACCCTCTTAGACTACCCCATCCGCTCAAGAGCAGGGAGAGTCCTCAGCATTGCAAGAAAAACCAAAGGGAACTCCACAAGGTTGAATCCCTACTGAACGGGACGATGCCTCGAGTCGAAGCCCTTTTGTTCAGCCTATCCTAGAGGCCAAGTTACCTGATAACTGGAGAGGTCTAACGTTAGAAAAGTATGATGGGACGTCTGATCTAGGAGAATACTTGGGTATTTTCATAACCCAAGTCGGTCTGTATATAGAAAACGAGGCCTTATGGTGCAGGATTTTCCCCACTTCGCTTCGAGAGCCAGCTCTAAGTTGGTTCATTTGACTCCCCTCTTCCTCCATTAACTCTTTCGCAACCCTTACAAGACGATTCAATTTATAGTTCGCCACAAGCAGACCTCACCCCTGACATCCCTGGCACTCGTCAATATTTGTCAGGAGAAAGGAGAAACACTTAGAGCATTCATGGAACTCTTTGGCAAAGTAACCCTTTCAATCCATAATTTGGAACCAGTTGTGGCCATGCACCACCTCACCACGGCCCTTAGACCAGGACCTTTTGTTAATAGCGTATGTAAGAAACCACCCATGGACCTAGACAAATTAAGGAGTCGGGCAGCCAAATATATGCAAATGGAGGAGATAACTGAATACCGGAACCAAGTTCAGATAGATCAAGGGGGGTCCAATTCAAGAGAGGCAGACAAAAAAGATACTTTCAAGTCTCGACAAGACAACAAAGCTAGAAGAAATGATGTTGAGAGGCCGCATAGAGGTCCCAAGTATCCTTCATATACTACTTTTAACACCAACCGATCTAAGGAACTTGACCAAGCTCTCGCAACTGAAATATTGAGCATGCCCAGGCCTGCTAATACCCCCTCTCGGGCAGACAAAAGCAAATCTTGTCGATATCATCGCAATATGGGCCATACCACAGAAGAATGCATAGCCCTGAAGGATAAAATTGAAGACCTGATCAAGGAAGGGCATCTTCGAGGATTTGTTCAAACAAATCCCACTGGTTATACTGAAAGAGGTAGAGACCGATATCCCTAATCCTCAAGAAGGTGTGAGGATAAGCAGCCCGAACGACAACGGAGCTGGTCAAGAGAACCTCCTGCGAAACGATATGAGGAACGAGAGAAATACCCGAAGAGGGTTATTAACACCATAGTTGGTGGGTTTGTAGGTGGAGGACCCACCAATTCGGCCAGAAAGAGACATCTGAGACAAGTCCGCTCTGTCAACAATATATCGCTGGGTAGTAGAATCCAAATTTCCCCATCACATTCACTGATGAGGACTTTCAGGGGGTAGATCCAGTGCAAGATGACCCTATGGTTATAAGTGTGGATATCCTTAATTGCACCGTCAGGAAAACACTAATTGACCAGGGGAGCTCAGCCGATATCCTCTACTAGAACACATTCAAACAACTGGGGATACCAAAAGATGAACTCAGAGAGTACCACGAATCACTGGTCAATTTTTCGGGGAACAAGTAGAGATTTGTGGTTATATCGACCTGTACACCTCATTCGGGTCAGAAAATGAAGGAAAACGCATCAAGGTCACTTACCTGGTGGTGCACGTGAATATTTCGTACAACATACTACTTGGTCGACCATCCCTTAATAAATTGAAAGCCATAATGTCTACTCCTCACCTGGCTATGAAATTTCCATCTGAAAGGGGTTGGATTGTTACAGTCCATGCCGACCAAAAGACCGCCAGAGAATGCTATTTTGCAAGCCTGCACTTAAAACCGTTCCAGGGGTACAAGCAAGATGTCAATATTGTCTTCCCTCGGTCAGAAGAAAATCTGGGTATGGAGTTGGATCCCAGAATTGATGAGGGATGTCGGGTCGAGCCAAGTGAAAATAAACAGCCCTTCCAATTGGGACCGAAGCATGACCAGATCACTTACCTTGGCACCGGATTGTCCGCACAAGAAAGGCAGGACCTTTAGAAAGTCTTGTTGCGAAATGCCAATTTATTTTCCTGGTCAGCTGCTGACATGCCAGGTATAGACCTAGATTTTCTTTGTCATCATCTCTCGGTGTATACGGGAGCCAAGCCGATAGCACAGAAAAAGAGTAAAATTGGAGGTGACAGAGCGAAAGCAATCAAAGAAGAGACCAATAAACTGCTACAGGCCAACTTTATCCGAGAAGTAAGATACTCCACCTGGTTGGCCAATGTAGTCATGGTCAAGAAGGCCAATGGGAAATGGCGAATGTGCACTGACTTCACGGACTTCAACAAGGCATGCCCAAAAGACGCCTATCCTCTTCCAAACATTGACACATTAGTAGACGGTGTAGCTGGTCACAAGATACTCAACTTCTTAGACGCTTACTCTGGATACAATCAGATCCAGATGTATCCTCTGGACAAGGAAAAGACAACATTTATCACGGATTCAGCAAATTTCTGCTATCGTGTGATGCCCTTCGGCTTGAAAAAAACAAGAGCAACATATCAGAGGCTGATGAATAAAATTTTTTTTAAAAAAATAGGAAAATGCATGGAAGTATACGTTGACGACATGGTGGTCAAATCCATTTCCTCGGAGCAACATCTCGCTCATCTAAAGGAGGTATTCAGCGAAGCCAGGCAACATGGGATGCGATTTAATCATGAGAAATGCATATTTAGAGTGGCCGGTGGCAAGTTCCTGGGATTTATGCTCTCCGAAAGGGGGATTCAGGCAAATCCTGACAAGTGCCAAGCCATCATTGAAATGACCAGTCCTCAGAATATCAAGGAGGTCCAAAGACTTGCCGACCAGATTGCTGCCCTCGCCAGATTTTTGCCTACAATGGCAGAAAGGTCTTGGCCTTTTATTGATTTGCTCAAGAAATCGCAAAAATTTGTTTGGTCCGATGAATGCAAGGCTACCTTTCTCCAATATAAAAATGTGTTAGAACCACCACCTGTGTTGATAAAATCAAAACTCGAACATGATATGATTATTTACTTAGCTGTATCAAAAAATGCAATCAGCTCGATCTTATTACAAGAAACACCTGAACCGACTCTAGTATACTTCATCAGCCGAACGCTCCAAAGTGCCGAAACCCGATATCAGTTGATGGAGAAGATAGTGCTGGCTTTAGTTCACATAGCTCGTCGGCTAAGACACTACTTTCAAATACATCGGGTTATCGTACGCATCGACTGCCCGATGGCCAAAATGTTGAGAAAACCGGAGTTAGCTGGCCAGTTAGTGGCATCGACAATTGAGCTATCCCAATTTGATATCCACTTTGAAAACCAGCACCCTCTTAAAGCTTAGGTGCTTGCAGATTTTGTCAATGAGTTCACCACCCAGAAGTAGACCACCACAAAGATGTGGAACCTACATGTAGATGGATCGTCAAACCGACAAGGTTGTGGAGCAGGAATTATAGTAGAAGGACCGAACACCGTAGTGATTGAACAATCCATTCAGTTTGGATTCAAAGCATCCAACAACCAGTCCGAGTATGGGGCACTGCTGGCCAGCCTCAGGCTGGCAACGGAAATTAGAGTCAAACGCATCACTTGTTGGACTAATTCTATGATAGTGGCCGA